TGTGCTCAGTAATCCTTTATATACAAATATTAAAGGTAAAGTTTCAATTTTTGCTCTAAAAAAAATACACGAGCAGAATCAAAAGGCAAAACGTTTGACTGCACAAGTACCCTTACCTTCATGTACCAGATCCTTCTCGAAAACAATGGGGCTACCTTGCGCACACTATATTCAACATCTCGAAGAAAACCAGAGCTTAACGCTTAATGATATTCATATGCATTGGTGGATCCAAGGTCACTCATCAGTATCGCAAGCCGGGGAAAATGATTTTTGTCGCGAAGATACACTGCAACCGCTCTTGCAGGATCTATAAGAAAGATATCAAGAATGGCCAGAGTTTCAACAATCAGCAACACAAACAACATTGAACAGCATGATCAATACTTCAGCAATAATTTTACAGAACCCCAAAGTAGTTTCTACAAAAGGACGTCCTTCTGATGTCACTAATCGTCAAGGAACTAACTCAACCAGAAGAGATCCTTCCGGATTTGAGTTGGTGAAGCACAGAGCAAGACAATGCGCTCTTTGTCAACAGCCTGGGCACAATTCCCGAACTTGTCCAAATAGAGGGGAACGCTAGTACTATTAAATCACTAGAAATTTCATATATAGTTAGCAAATAAAGAGAGAAATTCTTTCTCTGAACATTTTTAATTAGTGGTCAAAGACCAAGTTTTTCTTGTTTTGCATTGTATGTTACATATTAGAAGTTAATACAACTATCAATCATCTAGTGAAACTGCATCACAGATCATGTGCTCACATGATCTGTGATAATTTTCTTACGTGGGGGGTACAAATAACAAATTTGGAGGGTATGAATAACAACCGTCTAAAATAAAGCTATAAATTATTTTCATTGTGGATCGATAACCATACATGTTAAAACGTGAAAAAATTTCAGCAACTGTGAACAGGATGATCACACTTGAAAACTGAAAAAACTTCGGTAGTTGTGAACATATGTTCACACTTGAGTAAAATTTGGCGCAGTAGTTAACTTCTTTTTCGCAACCGTTACACTCCACGTGAAAGAACATTTTTTTTCTTGGACGCTTGATCCATTTACTAAAGCAAAACCTCTCCATGACCGGCCTATGCTACAATCGCAAACTCGAGTTTATTGCTTGAACTGTTGCAGGTAAGACAATATTCCGTTCCATTCCTATACCATTCACCATGTAATTCATAATTCCCATGTTTTCCATCGCAAATAGGGTATAGCGAGTCCCATGGCTGAGCAAATGCAAAATTATAATTATCAGTCCCTCTAAAACTATTTTGGAATTTCAAGTGAAATGCTCCAAGACAGATTTGATAATTAATTCTGGATCTGGTTTGGCTTCAAAAGTGATAGGCTTGAAACCAGAGGCTTGAGATTTTGCTGATATACTTGTTCTTGACCTTTGGTTAAGTAATTGCCATGGCTCATGTTCAGTTTCCTTTTTATATTTTTTGTATAAGTTAGAACGAATCTTTTCTGTCAAAATACTTGGTAATCCACTTAATTTGGCATGCCAATCCAAATATTCGAAAGTTAATATTTTATTGAACTTGATTATATTATTTTTTATATGATTGCAAATCAATTTAAATTGGTAATAGTTGACATAAAGTAGTTCTATAAAAAAATATTTCAAAGTGTGAGCAAATAAAATATATTATAAAATAATAAAATTATGCAGTTATCTCAATTTTGCACTGCTCACATTTAATAAAATAGGATTCAGCTTTATATTTATCTTTTATATTTTCCTTATCATTATAATTTAACTTGCATAATGAACATAATATCTTATTAGTAATTCTATAGTAATTGAAATCTTCATCACGAAATTCTCTATAAAAATTAGAATATCAATTCAATATTTTGTTGTGAAAATAGGCACAGTATTATGAGTTGGACTATGATAAATATTTTCGTAATGTAAATATTCAATCAACATTTATTTAATTTACTAATTTTGATCCAATTACTTTATGATCAATACGTAATGTATCTTCTTCTATTTTATTAAATAAAATAGAATATTACTACTACTAATAAATATTTTTTTGTATTTACTTAGTGTGAGAATGATTCTATAATAATACAATACTAATATTCTATAGCAATTTGGTTGAATATCCAGTAGTGTATAATAAAAAATAAGTATTATAACAAGATTAATAATTATAAAATTAATTAATATATAATAATATTTCTATAAACCAAACTGAACTGGACTTTTATCTGGATTCAAGTGCAGTTTGAAATTTGAATTGAACTTGAATTGAACTTGAACTGGACTTTGACTTGAGTTCAAGAAAAATTTGAAGTTTGAACCAAATATTTTATTTACATATTGTTACCATTCTACCTTTCATCAGTTATATCACGTTATATTTTAGCGCAATAATGTTCATTTAAACTTTTTCTTTTATTTTTATTTTTATCTTTCTATTTTTATTTTTATCCAATAGCATTAATTTA